GTGCCCCTGAGTTCAATCTCTGGTACCAAAAAAAAAAAAAGATAACTCAGACCAGGCATGGTGGCACTTGCCTATAATCCCATGAACCTGGGAGGCTGAGGCAATAGTTTGAGGCCAACCCCAGCAACTTAGCATGGCCCTGTCTCAAAATTTAAAACTATCATAATTTAAAAAGCAGGGGTAGAGCCTGGGGATGTGGCTCAGTGGTAAAGCACCCCTGGGTTAAATCCCCAATGCAAAAAAAAAAAACTTGGAAATCCAGATCTGTGTCAACCCAGTTTTTTCACGTTAGCAACTGAGACACATCTGTGGCAGCCCTCGGGATGCCAGTGTGTAACATTTATACTGAAGGGTCACTGATGTCCCCCTCAGATAAGAGGAAGACCCCAGAGCCAATGAAACAATTTGTCTACTGTCCAGTCTCAGACAAAACTTCAGAAGGCCCTCCCTGGCGAGCCCCTGGGTGGCCTGGATTGGGCGTGAGGACAGGGCAAGCTGCTCACTTCTTCCTCTCCTTCCAACACCAGGTGTATGAAGACCTGAGGTACAAGCTGTCCTTAGAGTTCCCCAGTGGCTACCCCTACAACGCTCCCACAGTGAAGTTCCTCACACCCTGCTACCACCCCAACGTGGACACTCAGGGCAACATCTGCCTGGACATCCTCAAGGACAAGTGGTCTGCCCTGTATGACGTCAGGACCATCCTGCTGTCCATCCAGAGCCTGTTAGGAGGTGACTTCTGAGACCACCCCTTCCTGTCAACAGGGGCCTGTCAGGCTTTCTGTGGGTCGGCCTCTTCTACCCCTGACCATTCTCTCTCCCCCCACAGAACCCAACATCGACAGCCCTCTGAACACACATGCTGCTGAGCTCTGGAAAAACCCCACAGGTAGGTCCTTCTTGAATATGGGATGATCCCTCAGAAGGAGCTCAGTGGGTGGGCTGAGGGGAAAGGATGGCGACCACTTCTGATCAGCCTTGGTGCATTCTAAAGTGACAAGTTAGTCCCCTCCTTGTTCATGGAACTTGAGGGGCCTTTGGTAGAATGGGTCACTGGCACCCTCCCCATCTTACTGGAAGCAAGTCCATCAGGAGACGATGTCTCCTGTGAGGGCAGAACAGTCTCTCCCAAGGTGCACCTTGAGTGTGCTTCCCGGTCAGCTGCCCTCTGGCCACCTCACGGGCTCTCCCGTCTCCAGTCACTCACCCGAGACCTGCCTTTCTCTTCCAGCTTTTAAGAAGTACCTGCAAGAAACCTACTCGAAGCAGGTCTCCAGCCAGGAGCCCTGACCGGGGTTGTCCAGCTCTCTGTGTTGATTTCTCCTTAGGTAGCCTGTCCTCTTCTTGGTTCTTGTATAGGACTATGTATCTTGAGCTGTGGTATTATTTTTGTTTTGTTTCTGTCTTTTAAATTAAGTGTGGTTGAGCCCCTGCAATGTATATTAAATAAATACATTTTGGTTGGTTTTTGTAAAGTTGCTGCCTTGTAATTACCCTTGGGTTGGAGGTGCTCGGAGCAGGCAGAGGTCTGGCTTAAGACAGGGACTCTTGCCCTGTTACAGGGGTTGAAGCAGCTGACAGGCTGAGAGGCAATTTGTGACCTTAGTTATTTTACCACTGTTTGTTCATCTATAAAATATGTCACAATAATGCCTGTTGGCTGGGGGTGTAGCTTGGTGGTAAAGTGCCTGCTTAGCAGGTACAAGGCCCTGGCTTCAATCCCCAGCACCAAAATAGCCATGGCAGGCACCAGGAACGTCGGCATTGGGGTGGCCCAGCTGTGTTGATGAGGCAAACCAGGCCTTAGACTGAAGGGTACACCTGTCTGTGCCCTCAGAGAGGGGAGGGCCTGCCACCCACTCTGTGACAGCTGTTATGGCCCTGAAGAATAAAACTCGGGTTACCCTATAGCAAGTGCAGAGTCTGGGGAGACCACCAGGGAATGCCCTCCCACTGTGGGAATCCCCAGGTCCCCATGGAAAGCTCCAGAGGGGCACATTCACTTCCTGCTCCACCTCCACTAGCGGCTCCTCCATCTGCTGTACCCAGGTCCCCAACTGTTTAGGTTACCTTTCCTCTGGCTTATATCAGGATCTGGCCTTGGGACCCCTGGAAGGAAATGTCCATGCAGACCTGCTGGGTCCCTGCAGGGGCAAGCACTGGGAAGAAGAGCAGCCTGAGGTGATGGGCCCAGCCCAGGCCCTGCAGGAAGAGTCCTGCAGCAAGGTAGACGGCAGCATCCCAGTTGCTCCAACCTGCCTGGGTCTCTGCCTCAGCACCCAGCCTGGTGCCTGTCGCGATGATTTTCACCCACCTCTTTGACTCTTGTTGGCCAAGGTCCTTCTTTGCCCTGGGTTCCCCATCAAGCAGCCATAGGTAAAAGGAATTGAAGTTGTCGGGTCTGGGATAAGAACTTGAGTGTCCTCTGTCTGAAACTGTGTTCAGTTCTCTCTTATGCATAGAGCTTTCTCAATTTAACATACATAGAGACCTACCAAGGATCTTGTTAAAATGCAAATTTTGGGGCTGGGGCTCAGTGGTAGATCACTTGCCTGGCACATGTGAGGCATTGGATTCGATTCTCAGCACCACATAAAAATAAAGTTTCATTCACAACTAAAAATATGTGTGTTTTTTTTTAATGCAAATTTTGAAGGGGCAGGGTTGCCTTTTGATGTGTGGTTCTTCCAGGAGCAAGGGCACCCCCCTGGAACTTGTTAGAAGAGCCAATTCTAGTTCCCAACAAGCTTTCCAGGTTCTGATGCTTTCAATTGTCAAAGTCACTCAGTTAGAGGATGCCTGGGAAAGCAAAGCTCAGAACCTGGTGCTAAACTGGTTCTAATTAAATGCTGAGGTGGTGGTGCAGGCCTGTAATCCGGCACCGCAGGAAGCTGAGGCAGGCGGACTAAAAGCTTGAGGCCAGCTTGCAGTGGCACATGCTGGGACTCTGGAGGCTGAGGTGAAGGATCCCGAGTTCAAGGCCAGCCTCAACAAATTAGCAAGGCCTTAAGCAACTTAGACTGTGTCTCTAAAAATAAATAAAATTTAAAAGGGGGAGATTGGGATGTAGCTCATGGTAAAGCACCCCCAATTTCAATCCCCAACACCAAAAAAAAGGAATAGGGCTAGATCTTTTAGAGGTGGAGACTGAGTGCCAGAATTCTTGTCTTGGGCCCCATCCTCAGTATCAAGCCTGAGATGGGGAACACAGGAGAACCAGACAGAGGGGAGTAGGATTCATCCATTTAAGGCATGAATTTAATTTCCTCAAATGTAAAGTGGGAATAACAGCATCTGCCTCTAGGTGTGTTGTGTGGGTGAATGAGACAATGGCTATAAGGCAAGGGCACAGCCCAGAGTGGGCACTCAATAAATACTAATGGTTACCAAACCCCAGCACCAATTTCTGGCTGAAAATACAAGCTGGGAAATATATGAATAGAACAAAAACAAGAAATAAACAGGACAGGAATGGAGAAGGAGGGCTGTAGCAAAAAATACAGTAACAGTGGGGTTCAATTTCAAGAATGATGATGATGATATCTAGCATATATATCATATATATACTTCTTACATATAATATTTGAGGGTTTGTTATTTTTGTGTTTTGGTACTGGGCACTGAACTCAGGGGAGCTTTACCACTGAGCCACATCCCGTCTTTATTTTCAGACAGGTTCTTGCTAAGATGCCAAGGTTGCCTGCAATCCTCCTGCCTCTGTCTCCCTAGTCACTGGGATTTCGGGTGTGCGCCACTGAGTCTGGCTAGCATTTTTAAATATTTACTATGTATCAGGCACTATTCTAAGCACATTGCACACAAGAACTCATTCTTAAAACCCTGTGAGATTAGCACTAATCACTATCCTCATTTACAGATGAGGAAACAAGCAGAGTGGCTTAATTTGTCAAAGGCAGTGAGGATTCAGACTCAGCCTGGCTCTACAGCTAAACTTCCTCTACACTTAATTAGCTATAAGGGGGCACCTGCTGTAACTGAGTTGTTGACAAAGAGCTTTGGGAGCTATATCCTAGCCAGCCAGGGTGGGGATCAAGCGCAGAGATGGTATCTTGTTGTGAGATGAAGAATTTATAAGAAGGAGGAAAGCATTCTAAGGAGTCAGAACAGCATGTGCAAAGGCCAGGGGCTTGGAAATGCGCCCTAGTCCACAGGAATGAGTAGTGGGAAGGTTGTGAGGGAGAGGAGGGGAGGAATTGGGAGCTGGTTCTAAAAGTTATGGAAAGCCTTGAAGCGTTTCAGAGGGGGAGTGGCCAGGGCCCATTTCATTTTTGCTCCATTATGCTATTGGCCTCTATGGAGTGCTGTGGAGGGGGCTGAAGGCAGGGAGCTGGAGGCAGACCGAGATAGGGGTCCTGGGTCGAGATGATGGGCTCAACCTCTTCTGGGCGCTCCACCCTCCCCTACAGCAAGGCACCTAGGAAGCTTGGAAGAGCAAAGTCGTTCAAGCAGCAGTAATGCTGGCTGGGATGGATGGACATCCCGACCCTCCTCAGCCGGATGGCCCAGAAGGAGGCAAGTCGGACACCCAAGACCCAAAGGTTCCAGAAAAATAGGACGGTGGAGAAGTGAAGAGACTTCACCCCTCTCCCCTGGAGCGCACCTTCACCCGACCCGCCGTCCTGGGCGCCCTCCTGGTGCCACCGGCTCCCCTGGACTCAGTTCCAAGTCCCTGCGGTCTCCCCTCCACTGCCAGGTGCAACCGCTGGCCCAGTGCCCGCGGCCCGGAGCCGGCGGCTACCCCGCAGGGCGCACCCCGCAGAGCGCACCCCAAGCCCCCCTGGCCGCGCGGCCGCCTGGGTCTCACACCGCGGCGGGTCCCGCACTGCTGTGCAGCATCCCACCCAGGCGGCCCGAGAGCCGCGGTCCCAGTCCACCCGCCGTCACTCATGTCACGAGCTGAGCTTTGCAACTTGTGCTTTTATTCCCTCCCGACGCAGTCAGAAGGGCCGCGCCTCCCGGTGGGGCAGGGACGACCGGTGGGCTGGCGCTGCCCGCGCCCGAGGGACGCGCGGTCTCGGGGCAGACGGCCGGCTCCTTACTGCACACCCTCCATCATCTTCAGGAACTCTGCGGGAAGGGAGGAGGGGGTCAGCGGTCCCTCACGGCAGCAGAGGGTGCCACCCGGGGCTGGGAGGGAACTTGGCCGGCCCCACCCAGCCCACCCACAAGGCCAAGGGCACCCGCGTGAGTGCCATCCGCACTGGCACCGCGCCCCAGAGCTCCATGTGGCCCCTGCGGCCTCACCGTCGAAGTCAATGCGGCCGTCGTTGTTCTTGTCCCCGTCTTTCATCAAGGAGTCGATCTCCTCGTCCGTCACGTGCTCCCCAGAGGCCCGGAAGATCTCGGCCAGCTCCTCGGCGTCGATGTAGCCGTCCGCGTTCCTGCGGGGTGGGGGCGCGGGGCGCAGGGCGCGGGTTACCTGGGTTACCTCGGCCACCCGACACCTGACCCCCCCCCCCGGGGCCCGCCCCGGTGAGCCGCCAGGTCCCCGCGCACCTGTCGAAGATGCGGAAACACTCGGCCAGCTCCTCCTCGCTCTTGCCCTTGGCGTCCTCCTTCATCTGGCGCACCATCATGACCAAGAACTCCTCGAAGTCGATGGTGCCGCTGCCTGAGGGAGCAGGCGCGCTCAGCCCCAGCCGGGCCGCCTGCCCTCCCCGCCACCCCCGCCTCGCAGGGCCACCCGCCTACCGTCCTCGTCCACCTCCTCGATGATGGCGTCCAGCTCCTCTTTGGTGGGTGTCTGGCCCAGCATCCTCATGACGGTGCCCAACTCTTTGACGCTGATGTCCCCGCCACCATCAGCATCAAACATGTCAAAGGCAGCCTTGAACTCTGCCAGGGGAAGGAGAATGGGGGGCTGAGGCGAGGCTGACGCTGCCCAGAGGCCAAAACGTTCCCCAACACACCCGCCGCCCACTGGCGACAGCTGCCCAACCCACTCACCAGCGATCATCTCCTCGCTGAGGTAGGACCGGGCCTCCGCCTGCTGGTCCGTCTGCAGAAGACAGAGCGAGTCAGAGAGCAGAAGGGAGCAGAGTCCCCCCTGAGCCCCGTTCTCCTCGACCTCCACTTTTTAAATTTTTATGTTTTGTGTGGGGGCAGTACTGGGGATTGAACCCAGGGGCTTTCTACCACGGAGCCACAACCCCAGCCCTTTTTATTTATTTATTTATTTTTTGAGACAGGGCCCCCCTAAATGGCTGAAGCTGGCCTCAAAATTGCAATCCTCCTGCCTCAGCCTCCTGAGTTTTGGGGATGGGCCACTGAGCGCAGCCTCCATCCCCATTTCTGTAGGGAAGTGCCCCTGAGTCCTCCTAAAGACCAACTTGGCACACACTTCCTGGGATTTCTCCAAGACACCTGGGTTCCAGGAAACTTCACGTTTTATCTTCTGACACCCACTAACTGCCCCTCAGTGCACCCAGATCAGGCTGAAGGAGACCCAGAGTTTTCTAGCAGCACATTCTGTGCTAAGGACAATGAAAAAAAAAATTAAATAAAAAAAACACACCAATGTCTTTTCATTTGTCCATTGGAGGCCAGGTCAGGAATCCCCAACGACCTTGGGCAAGTCACTTTGCATACCTTCCTCTCAAGTGACTTTGGGGGGTAAGATGAAATCAGGAGTGATGAAGGGCTTGGCATCCTGTCAGTACACTCTAGCATGATCTTCCAATCTCCCCGTCCCCTAATGGTGGCTTGTACTTTAGTAGTTGCTCAATAAACATTTGTTCTCAAATGAATAATAATGCAACACAGTTATTGAGCACCTGCTAAGCGTTAGGCCTTAGACCAGACACTGAGACCACCAAGAAGAGATGGACATACAGTCTCTCCCCTCAGGGAATTTGCAGATGGGGAAATTTTAGGTTTCCTTCTCATACCTCAGTCATTGGAGTGAATGCCTCTCACACTGGGCAAAATGTTATGAGGCTTTGGTGTGAAAATACAGTTTCTGTGGGGACTTCCTGGGTCAGGGGCTTTGGGCTGAGGTTGGTGGTGAAGAACCACTGAGATATCCAAGGAGTTCTTTGGCCAGCTGGTCCTGGCCCCCTCCTTCTCCCCACCCCCACCTTCTCCCCTCTGCTGGTCCCTGCCAGGAAGACAGGCTATTTTTAGGTGTTCTGGGCACAGCAGCTGGCCTCTGGGGTCTAGTTACTCCTTGAAGCCAAGCAGGGAGGGGACCTCAGAGGAAAATGACAACCCAAAGTCAAGACCCCTTCTGGGAGGATGGGGTCTCTCTAACTCTAGTCTGTCACCTTTTGCTTCTTCTGATCATGCTCAGGACCCTGGGAGCCCTGAGACTCAGAGACCACCAAGAAGAGGTGGACAGATTGTCCCTCCCCTCAGAGAACTCGCAGACATGGGGATCTGGAGCTTCCTTCCTGCCGTTCGGTCATTGGAGTAAACACCTCTCAGACAGCCAGCCCCAGACCCTGTGGCCTTCCATCCTCCAGAGGACAGGAGGGTTTGGCTGGGCTTCAAAAGCCCACCCCTGCCACAGGGCTGCTGGCCGACTCACTGTGGCCCTCAGGGTCCGAGTCTCCACTATGAAGGAGACAAGCGAAGACCCCCTCCTAGCTCTACAAATGCTGGAAGGCTCAGAAGGTGGGCAGGGGATCTAGGCCCTGAGGATCCGACCCTGGACCACCCCAGCCCTCCTCATCCACGAAAAGTCAAAGGCCTTTTCCTGGGATTTCTCCAAGACACCTGGGTTCCAGGAAACTTCACGTTCTACCTTCCAACACCCCTAGCTGCCCCTCAGTGCACCCAGATCGGGCTGAACGAGACCCAGAGACTTCTAGCAAGCCAAGGAAGGAAGTCCCTTCTTGTCCTTACCATGGTTGCTGGTCACTGGGACTCCTCTGCTGTGGGTCACCTCCTCTCCACTCCACCACCCAAAGATGCTTTGGCCCACTCCAGCCCCCAGGATTTGTAGGGGCACCCTCTCCTCCCACCTCCTTGCTCCCCAGGACTGGATATCTTGCCCAATCAGATCCTGGGGTCATCAAGCCCCACCCCTTCCAGAGTCCTAGCCCATTACCTAATTTAGCCAAGGTCCCTTGCAGAGAAATTTAAGCCTCTGAGCAGGTGGCAGGCCTTGACGTAGTCCTAGATTCTTCTGAGGAGGGCGCGCCCTGCTCCACTACCTTAGAGGGCCCCTCCTCCAGAAGCACACTGGCTTGGAGATGGGTAAGATGGCGGAACAGTGACAAGGAGGCAGCACGGTGGGATGGGAAGAGCACACAGCTTGAAGTTCAAGATTTGAGACCCAGGCCTGCCTCTTCGAGCTGCCTGACATTGGGTGATGACCCTCTGAGCCTCCTTTCCTCATGGTTCCTCATAAAGAGACCATGGCCTCTGGGTGTGGTGGCACACACTGTCATCCCTGCCGCTCAGGAGGCTGAGGCAGGAGGATCACCAGTTCAAAGGCAGCCTCAGCAACTCAGCAAGGCCCTAGCAACCCAGAATACTCTGTCTCTAATATAATATATATATGGATGGGAATATGGCTCAGTGGCTAAGTGCCCCTGGGTTCAATCCCTGGTACAAAAAAAAAAAAAAGAAAGAAAGAAAGAAAAGAGTATGGCAAATGGGAGTCCAGGTATAAGTCACCTACTGGTGCCAGGTCCATAGGGCCGGTGCTTAGCAAGTGAAAGATCATATCTTTGAACCATATTAAGTGGTAGGGGACATGGTAGTGGTAAGAGGAGAGTGATGGGGAGGCTACCGTTGATTGAACTTCTACCACATGACACACACTGTACTAAGCATTTTAACCACATGACCTCATCCTATGAGGTGGCAGCTATTACAATCCCCAAGTGCCTGGAGGACTTTGTAAGTCATAGTAAATCATAAAGATCTACAGTAATGATGACATTTTTTCTTTCTTTTTAAGTCTTTCTTTGAGATGGAGCCTCTATTTATCCAGCTGGCCTAGAGCTCCTGGGGTCAAGCGATCCTCCTGCCTCAGCCCCCCCAGTAGCTAGGACTACAGTCATATCGGTGCACCTGGATTTGGCAATTCTTATTAATCCTGACTGGGAAGAAGGTGGGACAGTCCTCAGGGGACCCTTCAGAGGGAGGAGGATACAGAGGGCTAAAGGAGAAAAGGGGTATGCTTTTGGAGAAAGAAGCATTGAAAACAAAGATTCTTCTCTCAAGTTACCTTTCTCCAGGGAAAGGGGATTTGAGATCCACTTTGGGGGAGGTAGAAGAAAGTGCTCTAAGTGGTAAAGGGAGAGCTGGCCCCTTCCCAGAGCTCAGAAGAAAGTGGAGGAGCTCAGGTAGCCCTCTGGAGAAGTGGGGGTGGGGGATCTAGTCCAAGGAAGCCACCTGAGAACCCTTAGGTTCATGCTAGGCCGGTCGGAGTAAAAAGCAAGGCTCATAGACAGTGGCAGAGGCAACAGGAGGAGCACTAGGACACCAAGAGCAGGGACAGGCCAGGAAAGGGAGACTGGACACAGGGGAAGTCAGATGGACAGTGGCAACTGGGCTGCCCCCTGCCCCTATATATAGACATTCCCAAGAAAAGCTGGAGGAGCCAGCCAGGCTAAATAAGGCCTCCCGCCAGGCGGGGCCAAGGACTGCTACTCGGGATTCCAATTTGGACAAGAAACACTGGAACCACTCAATTCCTTTGGGACAGGAGGTCTGGAACCCTCCTCAATCACTATTCGTTAATTTATTCTTAGGTTTAGTCAGAGAAATAGATAAGGACCAAACTCCTTAGTGTGACTGAGCAAGGTCCCACTCACTGTCTCTCCAATCTTCCTCTTTGTCTCCTCCCTCAGTTGCAGGTTGCTCTCCTCTAGTCAGACTTAAACATGGCGGTGAACAGCACCTTTTATGAACCCCAGGGCCTTTGCATATGATGCCAGAAATGCCCATCTTCCCTCTCTTCACCTGCCTGCTTACCTGTCATCTTTCTCGGTTTTAACATCTTCTAGTGGGCATGGTGGCACATGTCTGTAATCCCAGCAACTCAGGGATGCAGGAGTATCACTCTTTAGCAAGACCTTGAGCAACTTTAGCAAGAGCTTGTCTCAAAATGAAAAATTTTAAAAAGGGCTGGGATGTAGCTCAGTGATAAAGTCCCCCTGGGTTCAATCCCCAGGCCCAGAAAAAAAAAAAAATCACTTCCTCCAGGTTTCCCCTTCCCTACACCCAGCCTGGAGGTCCAAGGTGGTCTCCAGTAGTTCCCTCAATCAGAGCACTGAACATGCCTTAGAATCTGTTTAGTCCAATTTTTGTGGGGAAGAGGGTACCAGGCATTGAACTCGGGGGCACTCGACCACTGAGCCACATCCCAGCCCTATTTTATATTTGATTGAGAGACAGGGTCTCACTGAGTTGCTTAGCACCTCATTTTTGCTGAGGCTGGCTTTGAACTCGTGATCCTCCAGCCTTAGCTTCCCGAGTCACATGTGCCACTGTGCCCGGCTATTTTAGTCAGCTTTTATGTTGCTGTGACCAAAGATCTGACAAGAGCAACGTGGAGGAGGAAAAGTTTATTTGGGGCTCACAGTTTGAGAGGCCAACTCCTCCATAGCTCTAGGCCCAAGAAAAGGCAGAACCTCATGGCGGAAGGGAATGGCTAGAGGAGGCGGTCACTGGGGGTGTGCCTTTCTGGGTTTGAATTTCGTCCTTGTGAGCAGAGCTTCCTGGTGGCCACGTTTGGGCTGCTTTCCTCCTCCACACTCTTTCACCATGACGTTCTGCCTCACCTCAGACCCAGAGCAGTGGACTTCTCCATTATAGATGAGATCTCTGAAACCCTGAGCACCAAGTGAACTTCTCCTCCTCTGAAATTGTTCTCAGGTTCTTTTGTTTTTGTTTTGTTTTCTTGTACCAGGGATTGAGCGCAGGGGTGCTTAACCACTGAGCCACATCCCCAGCCCTTTTTATTTTTTTATTTTGAGACAGGGCCTCACTAAATTTCTTAAGGCCTCACTAAATTGTTGAGGCTGGCTTTGAATTTGTGATCCTCCTGCCTCAGCCTCTTGAGCCACTGGGATCACAGGTGTGTACCACAGCACCTGGCTCGTGTCAGGTCTTTGGGTCACAGCAGCAAAAACATTGACTTCATCAGGATCGCAACCGATTCTGAGTTCCATGGCCAGAGAAAATTTCTTGTTCAACATCAAATCTCACCAGGCACGGTGGCACACACCTATAATTCTGGCAGCTCGGGAGGCTGAGGCAGGAGGCTTGTAGGTTCAAAGTCAGCCTCAGCAATTTAGCAAGGCCGTAAGCAACTCAGTGAGACTCTGTCTTAAAATAAAAAATTAAAAGGGCTGGGGATATGGCTCAGTGGGTAAATGCCCTGGGTTCAATACCCAGTACAAAAAACAAAAAAGACTCCCAGGACCTAAGCCAGACATGGTGGTGAACTCCTGTAATCCCAGCTATTAGAGAGGCTGAGGCAAGAGGATCATAACTTCAAGACCAGCCTGGACAATTTAGCAAGACCCTATCTCAAAATAAAGTTCAAAAAGAAAAGAAAAGGGATGGGGTATAGCTCAGTGGTAGAGCACTTAGCTAGCAGGCAGAAGGCCCTAGCTTCAGTCTCCAATACTGGAAAAAGAAAAAATTCAGCACAAGAAGCACGTCGAGGCAAGTGTAGAGTGGAAAGTAGAAGCTTTATTAAAGGACAGCAGAAAAGACTTCTCCTGGAGGAAGAAGGGGACCGAAAGGCTGAATCCGTGGAAGGGGAGGTGTTCCCTCTTTTACAGCTAAGGTCTCCTGTTAGTCCTCCCACACCCCTGACCTTTGTTTCCCTCCGACCTGCAGTGATGGGATGCAGGTGGGAAGGCAGAGGTGGAGACAGGTGGGCTGGAGGAGTCCTCTGGGCAGGAAGGCTGGGGCGGTCTGACCAGCACCTCCCAGTTTGCTGGGAGCTGTTTCATCAGCAGTTCCTTAGGATGGGTTCTGGCCCTTGGGGACATTAACATTTCAATGTCCCCAAGTGCTGCTCTGGTTTCCTGGACTTCATTTTCAATAATGGCCTCCATTTTCTTTATCTTACTAGATATTAGACCCGATTTACCCAACTACACTAACTACCTATCTTTAAATCTGGCTTCACCTGCAGCGGGTACTGAGCAGGGTTTAATACTGTATTCTGTATAAGAAAAACTAAACAGTTGAACCATGAACCCAAACCCACTATTACACATAACTATAATGCACTAATAAAAGCATTTAAAAAAAAAAAAAAGAGTAGGGCTGGGGATATAGCTCACTGGTAGAGTGCTTACATCACATGCACAAGGCCATGGGTTCAATCCCAGCACCACAGGGAGAAGAAAAAAAAAAAAAAACCTGAACTGAATGTCATTTGATTCTTTAGAAGGAGGAACTTCCTAACCGTCATGGCTGAACCATAACAGGAACGGTTGGCTTCAAGAGGTAATGTCACTGAGTATGTACAAGTGGAGACGAATACCCATCTCTTAGGGAGGCTGTGGGGAAATGCCATGCAGAATCTGAATGGTGGAGACGTCAAGAGAGCTCCTTGTTCTGACCTGTTTATATAATGAAGCATAAGTCCCTCCCCCTCACTAAGCCTTAGTCCATCCACCTGTCAATGGAAGTGACAGGACAGATTTCTGAAGGACCCTCCTGCTCTGATAGCCTTGAGTTTATGAGCACCAGTTTTACAGCCAGACTTGAGAGACATATGCCAAGGACAAGTTGATATTTAGCCACAGTTGATGAGTGAGGGAGGGTTGAGTGAATAAATGAAGTGCATCTTTTTTATCCCAACATCCTACCTGCAAGCCAAAGGAAGAGGAATTAAATCTCTGAAATTCTGGACTTGAACTTAAATCTCAGCTCCCGTATTTCCCAGAGGTGGATCTTGGGGAAGTGAATTTGCCTCAGTTTCTTTATCTTCAGAATGG